AAGCCCTCGGTGTTGGGAAAGACCGGGCGGGCCTTACCAGGCCGTGCGGGTGGCGGCTGGGACGCAGGGGAAAGAGCGGTCAGTGAGGGGCTGTGAGAGCCAGCCCGCCCCAAACCCGGCCGGAGAGGATCGTAGAGTCACAGAATGGCCTAGGCTGGAAGGGACCTTAAAGATCATTTAATCCAACCTCCCTGTCATGGGCAGGGACGCCTCTCAACTAGATCAGGCAACACATGGGGACCAAATGGGGCTGCACGAAGAAAGCAGGGATTAGGAAGGTTTACGTGCTCGCTAGTTGCTGCCATCAGGTGTTTTAACAAGGTGGAATATTAATGATTCAAAAATGAAAAAGAAACACCAGAAACACGGAAGTGATTCGTGTCCCTTGGAGAAGAGTTAAAGGTGTCATCTCTCTGTGGTGCGTTTCTGGACGTGTTCCTGTGTGACCCACTCTGGGGGATCCTGCTCTGGGAGGGGGTTGGACAAAATCATCTGAGGACCCTTCCAACCCCTGACATTCTGTGATTCTGTGGAAAGTAAATTTGAGATGTATCAGTTTTCCATCAGGGTAGGTGAATGTGCCTAATTTGTGAACTAGCTATGCTCGCGTGTTTTAAGGTTGTTGGAGTTTGGGAATTTGTTTCAAATTTATTTCAAAAATCCCGCTAAAGTGGTCCCAATGAATTCTGTCTGTATTTCCAAGGGCCTGGGTTTCACCCCCCCCGCACACTCCCGTAACGACTGGATCGGGCCCCCTGACAAGCACTCCAACCTGTGGCCCGTCGTCTTCTACGTGCCCCCCGAGGAGTCGCCCCTGGAGCGGCGGCTGCGAGAGGCCCGTCAGGAATCCCAGGCCTGCGACCAGCGCTTCTGGGCACGGCACAACCGAGCCTTCCGCCAGGTGAGCCCGCTGCAACACCCTCTGCCATTTTGCTCCTGCCTGCCCAAAATCAGGGGGGTGTGGTCTCTGTGAGGTGGGGTTTAGTTCTGCCCACTGTTACTGGCTGGTAATAGATAATAATTTCTTCTAATATGCCAGTGTATTCATGGAAATTACTTTTTTTTGTCATTTGTGTCTTTAAAGTGATGTACAAAACTAAAGAGCCTGAGTATTTTATTGCTGTTAGGTTGTGTATAATTATATTTGCCTTTTCTTTTTCCCGTCTTGTACTGAAAATAGAAGGTTGTAGCCTTGCTCGTGCAAGACCTATCTGTGACTGGAGCAGCTGTTGAAAGTGATTCTGCAGCTCTTCTTGCTCTGGCATAAGTGAGAGAAATTAAGTATAATCTCCAAGGGTAAATGAGTACTCACCTTGTACCCCAACAAGGCTGGAACTGGAGACTTTTCAGCTGTGGTCTGACTTCTTTCCTGATTGCAGCATTGGTTAAAGAGATACTGAATTTTGTTGGAAGTAGAGTGACGGTTCAGTAATTCATGGTCATTTGTGATTATCTTTGATTATCATATCCTCCCAAAACTTGCAAAGATCTTGGGGAAAAAACCCCAAACAACGAATCTTGTTTTTTTAATTGCATAGAACTGCTTTTTGAGTTTTAAAAGCTTAATGTACAAATAATTATTCTTATTCCATCTAATTTCAGTTTTTGAAGGCTGCATGTTTTCTTCTGTTCTCAAGTTTTGTTATACAATACAGCACATGTTCATAGTGGTCTTGTAAACTGAAGGTTCAAATCCTGTCAAACACTGCTGAAGCTCAGCTGTAACTTTACTCCAAAGATATGTTCTAGCATAACACTTCCATCAATTAATTGATGCATGCAGGTAACAGGATCTAAGTGATAAATTTACCAGTTTAGCTAGCTTACTGGATTCAGGAAAATGTTTTGTTGACATTTCTGAGTACAATGAGTATTGCTTATTATTTCAGAGGGTATTAAGCACTGCACTGCTATGTGATAAAAAAAAGGACTGAGTACATCAGATTCTAATGTGGAAAATCATGTTTTAGGAGAAAGAAGAATTTATTTATTCAAGACTGAAAGCCAAGGGTCTGGAAATGAGAGATGAAACAGGTTAGTGAGATCTTTATTTACAGTTTAGGATGCATTCTGAATTCTGTTTAGCTTTGCATTCTGTTAGTTTATGCTCTTTGTGTTCTGTCACAAGTAAATCTTGAGGGTGGGATTTGGAAGTGTTTTCAGGAGCATGGTTAAAAAAAAAAGAGGAGCTCTTCCTAGATGTGCCGGTGGCAGTGAGATAATCTGTTGTGCTGTTCTTCCCCAAATTCCTTCCCCACAGCTGGAGGGAATGTGCTGATATCCTAGCCCAATAATATAATCATTCTGTAGTTTGAGGAGGAAGGGGCTTTTTTCTTTCACACTTCCTAATCCAGTGAGCTCACTGAGCTTAACATACAGAGCATTTGCCGCAAGTACATATTATGGTTGGGTGGATAATTCACACTCTTTGGCTTCAGTTCCACAGTGTGTACAACGAATACAATATTTTTCCTTGAGGAAGAATAAGGCAGTTTCTGAGGAGACAGCAGCTGCTATCTGCCTGTCTCTGCCTGAGCACATTTGCTGTAAAATAGTTGCCTCTCTTGATTCATTATGCAAAACTGAAAGCAAGATGCCTTCATAATATCAGTGAATTGGCCATTGTAGTGAGAAGTTGAACATTTTGTTCATAAAATAGTGATCTGTTGGAGTTCAGTAAAGCATCTGCTCTGATGTTCTGCATATCAGAGTCCATTATTTTTCTCTTCTGTTTGTATCCTAGTGATAGGTGTGTGGTTGAGAAATAATTTTAATTAAGTTCTGTGTTGTTTAGAAAACGCTTCTTTTATGCTGCCATTTTGGTTTTGGTCTAGTTTGGTTTTATACCCTAGAAATAAAAGGAAAAGTAGTAAGCATATACATGCCTTAGAAATTATATTATATTATATGCATATAGTGATTAACTCTGTCCTGTAACAAAGATGTGTGTATATATAAAAATAAGAGTAATAACAATATACATGGACAATTGGAACAAAGCCTGCTTTTTGTATAAGTGATTCTACGATCAGTCCTGCTGATACCAATATTAAGAAACAAATTAAGTATAGATGTTAAGTTGGTGGCCTTTAAACAGACTTAGAGTAAATTTATCCCATAGTGTGTTAATCCATTGTAATCTGTTAGGTTTGTAAAAAATAACAGAACTGATCAATAATTTACATTTCTGTGATCAGTCACGGGAGTTTTAAAATGCAATTTGGAACAGTAACAAGTTGGATGTCACAATTCTATCTCCCTCATCGTATCCGTGTCCTGTGGGACATTCAAATGGGACCCTCCCATTTTAGAAACACTCAAAAGTGCCAGAAAGTTTGTATAGGAATTAATCTGGTAGAGTTGAGAATATTTTCTGATTCTCAGGTTTCTACATCTGTGCTGTAGTGACAGTTTTTTCTTTTGTGTTCTGTGGAGAGAATTCATCCTCTTATATTCTGCTTATAAGAACGTCATATTCAGGTCATCTTTTGCACTTGCTTCTTCACAGAACAATTTCTACTATACTGCTAATAAGTCTGACAACTTGGAACATACACTCTTTGGTATAAGTTACTTGAAGTTTATCAACAGCAACAGAAAGAACATACATCTGAAAATGTCAGTCATAGTATTTATTGACTTGTTTTAAGGGGCAAATTTAAGTTACCAGTGCTCTTACTGGTGCCATTTATACTTCAGCCCTGCAAAAGAGTAATTTTACTCAAAGGATAGATACTCCTAGTTCTATGGACTTTTCACAGAAGTCCACTACTTCCCTAAATAGTCTAAGACCTGATAAACATAATAACTTTTACAAATAATAAGGGCTTAAAAGCTATGCCAGCTTAAAAGCTATGTCAGCTTCAAGATGATCTGTGTTTATAATCTTCTGTGCTCCCTAGATAAGTTTTAAAAAGTTGGAAGATAAAAGCATATTAACTTGTTCAAGGTTATGCAAGAAGCTTGTAGGAGCAAGGAGTCAGGCCTAGCTCTCCTGCATCTGAACCCAGTGTTTTATTCCAAAGAATGATCTTGACAATGTTATGCCAAAACTTATTTTCAGGTCAGAAAGCAACACTGAATGCAGAAGAAATGGCTGACTTTTACAAGGACTTTCTAAGCAAAAATTTTAGAAAGCATATGCAGTATAACAGGTATGTAGAAGATGTTTATGTTGGCTATTACATGTTACAGTCTAAATGAAAAGCATAAGATCAAATTTAAAATGTGAGCATTTTTTTTCTGCAATTAGTAAAGCAGCACATAAAACTATCATTCTGGAAAATTATTTCTGAGACAAGAGCAGGCACTCAACTTCTCTTATGCCATCCATTTTTTCATGTTACAAGTTGAAACTGATAAATATGGGAATAAAACTGTTGACATTTTTATATAACAAGTTCTAGCTGACTATTAAATAAGCACTAGTAAATGTGATTCATCTCAAAGGAAAACTGTTTAATGAGAGTAATATTTAGTATTCCTGGTTTTGTTATTTTGCAAGCATCTAGTAAAAATGAAAGTGATTAGCCTTGAATTTGAGATTTTTTTTGTGTGTGTGGTGAAACATTAGTAAAATGATTGCCTGAACTCAGCCTGTGTAGAACCTCAGCTGCAAGTGGGTGAGCCCACAGCCACTGTGCCTCTTCACAACATCCGCTGCATCGTTTCCGCGTTAACCATTTGTACAACAACTTGATAAACTGGATTTGGGATCTGAAACAACTGAAAAATTACTTGCAAACATACGTTACCCTGCAAGTAGTTGTGCACACTTTAGGTAGAGGCTGGAAATGAGGAGGGAATGGGAAGCTGGAGGAGTATAGTGCTTAATCCAGTTACAGCAGCACTGCCCACTGAACATGAAACCGCACCTTGAGTTTCTTCTCTGTATTGGATTGAAAGGTTATTGAGCTCCAAGGTATCAAGTGTTCCTGGGTTCCTAATGGTGTAATGCCGGTGAGAATTCCACCAGTGCTATAACTGATCTGTAGCAATTGTTTATGGTTCTTTGTACATATTGTACATATACTGTAAGAATAATTCTACTGTTACAAACATTTAAAACAAACACGCACATCTTGTCTTAGCAAGAGGAGGAGGAGGTGGGTTTGGGAAATCTCATCATAAACCTGAGCAACAGCATGAAAAGATGGAAAGTAAAAAATTGTTTTTAATTAGAAGATTGTTGTTGACTGTAAGTGCTGAGTGAGAAAGCAAATAGTTTATCTTGGAACCGATGCCATTGCTATGGTGACCTTGAGACAGTGTCTCCATGGTAAAAGAGTTCAGGCTTTGTGTCTAAACATGACCTTCCTTGTTGTTCCCTTGTAAAATTAGGTAGTGTCAGCTGCATCGTTGTAGTCTCAAAGTGGAACTGCACAGTTGTGAATGCAGTGGAGCTTTTTACAGGCGCTCTGATTTTGAGGGTCACATTTACAAAAGTCTGCATTCAGTTTATGCATTCAGCTGTAAGTCCATTTGCATTGTTGCCAGCTGGTCTGAAAACTGGCTGCTGAAATGATGCAACTTCTAAAATTTAGGTAAAATTGAAGCAATGACTGTGCACAGACACAATGAATATTTAGTTCTGGCTACTTAAACTGAAAATACAGTCTAGTTTAGGGAAAAAAAGTTGGAAGGATATAGGAACTCAGACATGAAAGGCAAAGAGAAACAGCTGCAATGTTAACATGATATTTTGATTTAACATGACATTGGAGAGTGTAGCTCAGTGCTGCTTGTCAGTATGATTTTGGTTACTCTCCTTACTGAGAGGTTAGTATTTCAGGTTCATGTTAGATCTGTACATGCAAAGTTTCCCAAAGAAATGTCAAGAGAAGACCTAAATTCCAGTGTTTAATATTCCCTGCTAATTCTACAGTGAGTGTATTCTATTGCTTCTTGTGCAGCGTTTTACAAAACAGGAGTGGGAGTCTTGTGAGAAACTAGAAAGAAATTATGAAATTAGTTTATAACAGGGGCAGGAATTCGAAGCAAGTTCTCAGAAGTTAAAAAGGCCTGATACAGACTATCCTATGTATATCTTGAATTTGTTCCGAAAAACATTCATGTTTTGTAAAAGCTATTTAAAGATATAAAGACTAACTTTGGCAACATTAAAAGCATCATCTTTAAAAGGTACTGCACTAGAAACATAATGTCTCATATATTGGGTTACACAATTACTCTTTGAAGTGTGATTTTATTTTTTCCCACCTTCAGAGATGACCAGCTATGCCCTTTCCAACACAGGCATCTTTATATGTGCATAAACAAATCTTAATGATAGCACCGCACTGCCAGGACATTCTTCTAGGTAGCCTGACCATCAGCTTTACTTCTGAAATACAAGATATGGTTACAATTATCTTACCTGATTTCAGATACAGCTGGTCATAAAATTACCCATCCCTTAACTTTTTTACCATTAAACTCTGTGGTTGTAGACCTACAGTCCACATGTAATCTCTCCATGGATGGGGATATTCACACAGACATTTTCATAGGTTAACTCTCATTAGGCAGGAAAAGTGTTGCCTCAAGGAACAAAAAATGCAGGTCATCGCTGAACTGTCACTTGTCAAGGCCAATGGATATTTTAATATAATTGTGTACCTTTTTCCTCTTCCTGTTCTGTGTGATGATGATTTTCCTGGCTTTGGAATTCCAGAGATTGGTATAAACGTAACTTTACTATCACATTCCTCATGGGACAAGTAGCACTGGCAAGAACTCTGAGATGGCTTCGGTGGAAAAAGAAAAGTGTTGGAAACTGAGCACAGCTCCGTGAAGAAGGCAACAGTAGCTAGCCTGCTATAAACTTGTACATACTCATGTTCGGAATCTGAGTGACTGATGTAATAATCGCCTGAATCTGTTTGTTAAACTATGTAAATAAAAGTTGCCAATGGTCTTAATATATAATCACTGTGTAGATTTCCTTTACCTTTTATTCCAAGAATATTTAAAGTATTTCCCAAGTGAGCAAATACTAAAAACTGCCTCCAGTTTACATTAAATGGAATGGATCACAACTGTCATGTTTTTTTACCACAGAGTCATAGCTCCTAAATAACATGTGACTCAGTATGTTGTACCTGAACTCAGGTCAGAGAATGATGTCTCCACCAACCACGTCAGTCTGTGAAGACAAAAAATGCCTCATTTTGCAGCAGTCCTGTGTCTGGGGCAGTAGCTGTCAATAAGTTATACAACATGGCTGAAGGAACAAGTGTGATTTGTGAGTATACATACAATCAATTTACAATAATCTTTCCAGTGTGGTTATTTCCTGTTTGTAATAAAGATTTAAGATACGATTTCACATGAATTACTAATTCAATAGGGTCTTCTTAGATAATATTGTTTTGATAAAAAGAAATGTGACCCCTTGGATGAGAGTTCCTCCAGCCTATGATTGGTGAAGATTTTAGTTGCTGAGCTATAAAACAAAGACATTGTTTGTCACTTAATTTTGCTAGAAAAGGAAACTGATACTTGTCTGTATGGGGAACAGTGTTAGTACTAATAGGTGCTGCTTTCTGCTGTTTGGGTTTTTTTTTCAAAAAATATGCTATTCCCACCAGTTTCTCTGAGGCACTCAAAGCAAACTCACGTGAGGGTGATTTTTCTGGCCTCCAGATATGTAACATCGATTGGAAAGAGGTTGGTTTAAGTGAAGTCTTAAAATATTATGCCATGTATCTGTAATTTAAAATAAGTTCCATTCCTAGGAGTGTTCTCCCTGTCCATTTATACAGTTACATGATTCTTTTGATACAGTGCCTACTAAGAGGATTCTGTTAAAAAGAACATGTGTTGTCAAATGAACTGGATTTTCCTAAAGCTGTGCTGTAGGGAAGGTTCTGCTTTTGGAAATGTCAGCTCAGTAGCCATTGACCTGTTTTTCATATCTAAATATGACCTGATTTATTCACAGGCTTCTTCAGCTGGAGCAAAAAGAGCTTTGTCAGTATCAACTGTAATAATTCCTTTGCAAGAGGAAATAAATATTAATGCTATAGTAGCAGATTGCACTGTTTCATACAACGATGATATCATCAGTGGGGCTTAAAACAGTCACTTCATCGTGGTTTAACTGTTGTGTTGAACAGTCATTAATTGTGTTTGCTGAGGTGATAGCCAACGCTTCTAGGAAAATATTATTTGTGAATGTTGTCTACTGTGTCAGTACTGTAAAAAGGTATGTATTTATTAAAAAGTTACGAAATGCTGTATTTCTTTAGGAGAATAAATGTTTGAAATAGACTGCTGTGGGTATGTAATATAGTTCTTCAGGGCTTTACAGTAAATCATATCCCTGAAGGGCAGAGACCAGAACCCCAGGGGACTGGTGGTTGACAGCCATGTGTTTGGACAGCCTGTGCCCGAGTTCCCTAAGGTAGTTTCACACACGCTTTAAGCGGATAGAGGTCAATCAACAGAAGCATTTTCATCTTCTGAGCTGCTCGCTTTTATCAACACAGACATTTTTGAGTCAGCCTGCTGAA